GGGAAGTATCGGGAGGGGGACGTAATTTAGACTCCATGTTGCTGGGGCGAAGTCTTCATCATCCCCCCTTACGTCACTCTAAGAGGGGAGGGGCGCATGAGGAGCCCGAGCTGATGGCGATGTCAACTTACCAACATGAGAAGAGATATGGATTCGGAAATAAAATTGCTCCAATTTCCGTTGGAATTTGGAATTCAAATTCGAATTGCTACCGGAGTGACCCTCGGTGTCCCTCGCGGGGAACATTCGGGATCGAGACGTTAACGTGCATCTCTGTGCGACACATGAGGCATTCTCTCTAAGTTCGATCGTGAGAAGTGCCCTCGAACCCAAATATACCTTTACCGTAAGAAAGAACCGTGGATCCTTCCTGTGCAATTATTGTAAGTGTATTCGTCCCAAGGACCTTGAGCTCAAACCGTATCAGTCATAGACTTTCCGTCGCCGGGGCGAAAATCACTTACTCAGAGAACTCTTCTGCCTACAAACTGGAAGTTCCAGGGAATCATATGTAGATATTGCGTACCCCTACGTCGAGATAAGACTGATCACGGATCATATAAATCACAAGTCATAAACCATATAGAACGAATACGAAGTTGATATAATACTGAGACCGGACTCGAGCAGATTCCTGTCGACAATCATATGAATTACGCGTCATAGATCATACATAAGGAATACAAATAATTATTTGATGTGATATGTGATACTGGGACCGGACTCGAGCAGATTCCTTCCGAAAATCATATGAATCACGTGTCGTATATCATATTTATCGAATTCAAATGATTATTTGGTGTGAAACCGACACCGGACTCGAGTAGATTCCTGTCGAGGACGATTCATTCGAAGATCGAGAGTGAGCCAGTGACTACAACGAACACGATCGTAGCAATGGATACGACGAGCCCGATGACCACGATGTACAAGACGGAAATAACGGATGAAATAAACTCTACGAGGACGACACCTACGATCAATACCTCGGGGAATTTCGTGAAAGCGCGCGGCCTCCTTTTTGGTAGATCCGATCCTTGGGCTGACCCCGCCGGCTACTACATGATCGGCGGCGTCAATCAGGCTCAAGGTCCTGCCCCGTTCTTCTTCCACATTAAGTGTACAACACGAGACAGAAGCATCGTCACGTTGGTGTGCAAGTCATACAGAGCGAATGCCTGTCCTGTCGTCGCAAGAATTAAACAATGTGGAGAGGTTGTCCAGCTTAAGGGTATCCACAACCACCTCCCGGATGAAGCAGGGCATGGCATAGAATTCAGGCATGCACGTAACGAGTGGATCAAGGATATAAAAGAGAATCCACGTAGAAATCCCTCAGATGCTATCTTGGAGCAGCGTCGCAAACTTCCTCGAGAGGCCGCGTCGAGGATCATACCAGCGGCTCACGATCGCACCTGCCGGCGCCATGCAGGCAAAGTCAGACCCCCGCGACCCAAAACCCTCGGTGAGCTTCATCGGGAGCTAAGCATCAAGAGCTATCCGCGGTTCAATGTGACCGAAGACGGAGAAAAGCTCGTCAGCTTCTACAATCCGGAGCATGAAACGCTCCTCATTACAAGCCACACCTTGCTGGGGCTGCTGAGGGAAGCACGACTTATTCATGCCGACGCTACCTATAAGATTCGTCCCAGGAGACTCTGTAGACAGATTTTCACACTTCATGGGAACTGGGGGGGGCACGTCGGAATGGTGGCCTGTGCGTTGATGGTCCGAGCAGATGCTGTAGCCTACCGATAGGTTTTCCAGCAGCTGAAAGAGGCCGTGCCCGGACTCAACATCGCCTCTTATATGGGGGACTGGGACTGCGCAATGCGGAGAGCTGTCCGGGAGGAATTCAGCGATGTGCACGTCTTTGGCTGCCATTTTCATTACGCCCAAAGTCTGGTGAAGAGGGCGAAATCGTGTGGTCTCAGGGAAGGCATCTCGAAGCCAGGGGCTATCCTCTCGAACTTTTTGGCGTTCAAGGCTCTACCCTTGCTCCCACCAAACCTGATCCTGCCTACATTTGAAGCTCTCGCTGCTAGAGCTAAGAAGCTACATGTCGGATTCCTGCCATTCCTGGAGTATATGACCTCTCATTGGCTGCACACGATAGGCCCAGGCGATCTGTCCGTGTTCGGCTTGCAACAACGAACCAATAATGATGTAGAGGCAAACAATGGTAAACTCTTACGGAAAACGGGCCACCGTCGTCCAGTGTGGTCGCTTCTAGCCACCATAACCGATCTCGCCCAAGACGTGGCTCTCGACAGGATGATCCATGACAGGGGTGTGGAGAACATAAATTCAAGGCCGAGTAAACCGACCAGACTGAATAAGCTCAGGGTGAATATGTCGTGGGATCTATTGACAAGAGGAGACATTACTGCAATGGAATTCATAAATCGAGTCAAGTTCAAAGTGGGGAAGAGGAATCATTTACTGACACTCAGGAAAGAGGGGCATACTGGAGATCCAATACTGAAGGCCTGGCTAGAAGAGCAGAGTGGAAACTTCCCCGATGAGGACTCTGGCCCCTCTGGAAACAAGCACGGCGACGATAGTAGTGACGTCGACGACGCCGACGTCACCTCATCCGGCGACTCCAGCTGCGATCGGTCTGAAGAAGACAGTGTCTCAGTCCCCCATGGAATACCTTGCCAGAACATCCCCAAGCGCGACGATTTCCATCTTTTTTGGGATCACACTTATGCAAGAAATCCGAACTCTCTTGCTCCACGATACGAACAACCACATGATCGATTCCCGCCCATCACTCTTGACATGAAGAAGACCATAAAAGACGCGCTTGAGGAGCGGAGCGACGTCATCGGAGACGTGAGCGTATCCAAGCTCGCGGTTTCTTCTGAAGACCTGAGAACTCTGATTGGACTCAGCTGGTTGAACGATGTGATAATTAATGTTTACTTAAATCTCATCGTCAACAGGAGCAGAGATAACCCGCGTTTGCCCAAAGTGTACACATTTAACACTTTCTTTCTCGAATGCTACCGAAAACATGGCTATGCTGATGTCTCTCGATGGACGCGGCGAGACGACATCTTCGCTCACGATATTGTTCTAGTTCCTGTTCACTCAGCCAATCATTGGTCTATGGCCATAGTCGATTTCCGGCGGAAGCTCATACGATATATGGATTCGCTCGGTCACCGGAACGATGAGTTTCTGATAATGCTGCGCGATTATCTGGCCAACGAGATGCTTTACAAAAAGAAAAGCATTCTAAATTCTGATGAGTGGCATTTGAAGAATGAAGAGGACATTCCTCTTCAAGAGAACGGATCCGATTGCGGGGTCTTCGCATTAAAGTACGCAGACTATGCAGCCAGAGACACGAAAATCGATTTCAGTCAGAAAGACATGTCACATTATCGCGAAATGATAATGTACGAGATTCTACAATCATCGATGATGCCTATTACCTATGTTACTGAGTGAGTTATAGTACGCAAACTATCCAGTCAGAGAGGCGAAAATCGATTTCAGTCAGAAAGACGTGTCATATTATCGCGAATTGATAATTTACGAGATTCTACAATCATCGATGATGCCTATTACCTATGTCATTGAGTGAGTTATAGTACGCAGACTGTCCAGTCAGAGACGCGAAAATCGATTTCAGTCAGAAAGACATGTCAAGTTATCGCGAAATGATCATGTATGGGATTCTACAGTAATTTATGATGCCTATTACCTATGTCACTGCGTGAACTTAGAAATAACAGAGTTGTTTAATCTGCCAAGGTATTCTCGTCGTGGAGAAAAGACTCTTCGATAGAATATACCCTCGGTACAATGGGTCACGTGAAATAAAAAACGATTGAAAAGAAATATCCGTCTCAGTCCAAGCGTCCACGTCGCGAGGGATGGGAGCCTTTCGGGGGCTAGTTGGACTTGGAAGCTTCCGAAGCGCTCCAGGGAAAATCGCTCCCCCAATATGCTCTCCTGAGCTCAGAGTAGCATTCGTTTCTTGGGTAACCGATTCGAGCCTTCCTGGCGCTTTCTCGTTTCCGCGTAGAGCGTAGACTATCGCTAGTCGTGAGGTTCCTTCCGCCACCTTAGCGAATTCGACGTCCACAATAATTAGAGCTGCTGAAGGCTCCCAACGACCGCCCGGGACGCGTCCGAATGCGTTCATCCGTAGAAGAGGAAGTAAACAAAAGGGGCTGTTGACCTAGAGCCCTCTCGGCCGTGTTGTTTACGCGCGGGAAATCTCCAGAGAGGGCAGTGCGAGAGTTTTTTTTGTCGCCTCGAAGGCGAGAGCGGTGCCGCTAAAGAGCGCATATTCGATCCACAAGCTGGAGCTGATCGGAGCGGTACTGGGGGCGCGGATGGGAGACAGAATGAAACGATATCTCAATTTTAATTTCGACTCCACGTGTTATTGGTGCGATAATTCGCCCACACTACACTGGATAAAAGATTCACCGGAGCGCTGGAAGGTTTTCGTTGGGAACAGAATCCGGGAGATCCAGTCTCTCACAGACTGCGCGGATTGGAACTACGTCAAGTCGGCCGAAAATCCAGCGGATTTATCGAGCCGGGGAATTAATATAGCCGATGCGGAATTCACTTCGATGTGGACTTCAGGACCTCCATGGTTGTCGACTCCAGGTCGTCCCACGGAGAAACACTCACTGAATGTTCTTTTCGAGAACGAAATTGAGAAGGAGAAGAGAACAAAAGTCCTTCTAACAGGAGCCGAGCCTGACCCCGGTTTCCTATCGTTGAAGAAATTTCTCGGCCGATTCAGCAGCGTAACGCGGATCATGTCAGACAACGGCCTATCATTCGTCAGAGCCGCGAAGGAATTGAAGATAATCTACGATCACGTAAAATGTCCAGCCGTTCAGCAGCACCTCGTCAACGCGGAAATCACGTGGGAATTTATCACTCCCCACGCACCCACCCATGGCGCATGGTGGGAACGCATGGTGCAGACAGTGAAACGTCCCCGAAGGAAAATTCTAGGTCGAGGCGCGCTGCGGTTCAGGGAGCTAGAAACAGTTCTGGTTGAAATCGAATCCTTGGTGAACGAGAGACCTCTCACGGCAGTGCAACTCGATCCGAATGAGATCAGCGCTTTGTCGCCAGCAGATCTACTCTACAGACATCGAGCGAAACCGACTCTGCCTGAAATGGAATTCAAACCAGATTCGCGTGGAGCAGCGAATTCAATCGTTTTCTCGAAGCGTTGGAAACACCAGCAATCGGTGATTCGAGCTTTCCAGCAGCGGTTCTCGGAAGAGTATATTCAGTATCTAAGAACCGCGCATAGTAGGAATCCTTCTAAGTCGCGCAGCGTACAAGTCGGCGATATATGCCTGTTGCAGGATCCGAGTCCTTCCGAAGCGCGTTGGCCTTTGTGTCGCGTGCTGAGTCTTTCCGGCGGGGAGAGAACAGATCGTCGGCGACGATCCTGTCTCATTAAGACGGCTACAGGCCAAGTCTTCCAGAGACCGGTTCAGTGGCTATATCCACTCGAGGTCTAGCTGGCGGAACGGAGAGAGAACGACCAATGGATGCGGTGAAAAAATATACCTATTATTATCACAAAGAGGAAGTTTCTAATGAACATTCAGACGAATGGGGAGAGGTTGCGATGGCGCCCCAGACCCATTTCATAGGCGTCCGTCTGAGTTCCAGCGTCGGCGCGTGGTGGTCGGGACACGGCTGGCGAGGTTTCTTCGGCGCCTGCGGGCGCGAGTCCTTCGGTGTTCGCTGGCGCGGGGCCCTCGGCGGGCGATAGTCCTCCATCCACGCTTTAACTCATTCCGTCCCATCAGTTGTCTTGCAGGAATTTCCAAGGCGGTGGAGCATTTTCTCCACAGGCGCTTGGTTGACGAGCTCGATGAGAAGGGCATCCTGTCGGATCGACAGTACGGTTTCAGGGGCTCCCGGTCGACGGCGGGGGCGATTAGGGAGGTTCTCGAGGGCGCCGCTCGCCAACGGGCGATTCCCCTTCGGTCACGGGGGCACTGTGTCGCGGTTCTTCAGGACGTTAAAAACGCCTTCAACACGGCGTCTTGGGACGGCATCAACGACAGTCTTCTCGCCGCGGGCATTTCCCCGTATCTCCGACGCTGCATCGCCAGCTACCTTTCCCTCCGTTCGAACGTCTTTCAGGGCGAGGTGTCCCCGGTTTCGGCTGGGGGTTCCTCAGGGCTCAATCCTGGGCCCCACCCTTTGGAATGTCGTTTACGACGGGGTTCTCCGACTCCCCCACCCTCCGAACATCACCTCGGTCGCCTACGCCGACGATCTAGTCGTTCTCATCACCCAACGGGACCCAGCTCTGCTTGAACAACAGATGAACTGTGCTCTTAGCGACATAAGCGCTTGGATGAGGACGCGCTCCCTCGTCCTCGCCCCGGCGAAATCGGTTGCCATCTTCCTCAACGGGAGAAAGCATCTTCCCCAACGGGATATCCACTTGCAGATAGACGGCCACGAGATTTCCTTCCAGCGAACCGTTAAATACCTTGGCCTCATGTTGGATCAGGGCCTCACGGGGACCCCGCATGTTCGATACGCCTCGCAGAAGGCCCTCAAGGCGGCGAACGCCATCGCACGGCTCCTTCCTAGGTGCCGGGGGGTCGGGGACCACCGCCGTAGGGTGCTCGCCTCCGCCGCGGACAGCATAGTGCTCTACGCCGCCCCTATCTGGGCGGAGACTATCCGTAAGAAGACTGTTAGAAGAATGCTGGACAGAGCCCAACGACCCATGTCCATCCGGGTTTCTCGGGTGAATCGCACAACCTCCACGGTCGCAGCGCAGGTAATCGCGGGCACCCTTCCGCTCGATCTCCGCGCCCGGCTGATCCTCGCAAGGGAGGACAGGGACGGGGAGGGGTCCGACGCCGACTCTTTCACGAGGGAAGATGCGATCGCTGCCTGGCAGCTCAGGTGGTCGGGGATAGCTCCCGGCCAGCCAGGATACTGGACGTCCCGACTCATCCCGGATCTGGGCCCTTGGCTCGACCGGAAGCACGGCAACCTCTCGTATCCCCTCGCGCAGCTACTCTCAGGACACGGCTCCTTCGCCAAATACCTGTTCCGCATCGGGGAGATGGACTCGCCGGCTTGCGTGCTGTGCGCCTCGGGGGAGGAGGATGACGCCGCACACAGCTTCACGGTCTGCAACGGGACGCTAGACATCAGAGAAGAATTCCGGAGAAAGGCCAACTTTGCGGAAGGCGCTTCGTGTCCAGAGCTGGTCTCATACATGCTCAGGGGCTCGGAAGAGTGGAGGTCGGTGTCTGGCCTCGCATGGGCAATAATCGCCCGGAAGGACCGCATACACGATGAATGGCGACTCGCGCAGACGGCCGCCCCAACTCTAGAAGACGCGCGGCCAGCCGCTCAATGAATAATCTCGTTTTTACTGTTTTGTGCGTGAAGAAACAGGGTCGTCATCGCCGCGTTTTGGCCTTCTCTCGTCAAGAACGGCCACCTCGCCTCATCGTCGCTGGGCATCGCCCTCAGCAAACTGAACAATCGCGTTTTCACTGTTTGTGCGTGAAGAACAGGGACGTCAGCATCAAGTAGGGGGGAGCTGAAGTAATGGCCACCAGGCCGATCCCAGCTCCTTTCCGCTCTTCCCCAGAAGGTTACAGAGGATAAGGGTTTTAGTGGGTATTCACCGCAAGGT